TGAGTCTATGGGTCTATGAGTCTATGGGTCTCTATGAGTCTATGGGTCTCTATGGATCTCTATGAGTCTATGGGTCTCTATGAGTCTTTGGGTTTCTATGGGTCTATGGGTCTCTACGAGTCTATGAGTCTATGGGTCTATGAGTCTATGGGTCTATGGGTCTATGAGTCTATAGGTCTCTATGAGTCTATGGGTCTCTATGATTCTATGGGTCCATGAATCTATGGGTCTCTATGAGTCTATGGGTCTCTATCGGTCTATGGGTCTCTATGAGTCTATGGGTCTCTATGAGTCTTTGGGTCTCTATGGGTCTATGGGTCTCTATGAGTCTATGAGTCTATGGGTCTCTAAGAGTCTATGAGTCTATGGGTCTCTATGGGTCTATATGAGTCTATGGGACTCTATGAGTCTATGGGTCTCTATGGATCTCTATGAATCTATGGGTCTCTATGAGTCTATGGGTCTCTATGGATCTCTATGAGTCTATGAGTCTCAATGAGTCTATGGGTCTCTATGGGTCTCTATGAGTCTATGAGTCTATGGGCCTATATGAGTCTATGAGTCTATTGGTCGATGAGTCTATGGGTCTCTATGGGTCTATGTGTCTCTATGGGTCTCTATGAGTCTATGGGTCTCTATGAGTTTATGGGTCTCTATGAGTCTCTATGAGTCTATGGGTCTCAATGAGTCTATGGGTCTCTATGGGTCTCAATTAGTTTATGGGTCTCTATGAGTCTATGGGTCTCTAAGAGTCTATGGGTGTCTATGGGTCTCTATGAGTCTATGGGTCTCTATGAGTCTATGAGTCTATGGGTCTCTATGGGTCTATGAGTCTATGGGTCTCTATGAGTCTATGGGTCTCTATGGGTCTCTATGAGTCTATGAGTCTATGGGTCTCTATGAGTCTATGCGTCTCTATGGGTCTCTATGAGTCTATGAGCCTATGGGTCTCTATGAGCCTATGGGTCTCTATGAGGCTATGGGTCTCTATGGATCTCTATGAGTCTATGGGTCTCTATGAGTCTATGGGTCTCTATGGATCTCTATGAGTCTATGGGTCTCTATGAGTCTATGGGTCTCTGTGGATCTCTATGAGTCTATGGGTCTCTATGAGTCTATGGGCCTCTATGAGTCTATGGGTCTCTGTGGATCTCTATGAGTCTATGGGTCTCTATGAGTCTATGGGTCTCTATGGGTCTCTATGAGTCTATGGGTCTCTTTTGTTCTCTATGAGTCTATGGGTCTCTATAAGTCTATGGGTCCCTGAGTCTACGGGTCTCTATGAGTCTATGAGTCTATCGGTCCCTGAGTCTACGGGTCTCTATGAGTCTATGGGTCCTTGTGAGTTTATGGGTCTCTATGATTCTCTATGAGTCTATGGGTCTCTATGAGTCTCTATGAGTCTATGGGTCTCTATGAGTCTATGGGTATATGATTCTATGAGTCTATGGGTCGATGGGTCTCTATGAGTCTATGGGTCTATGAGTCTATGGGTCTCTATGAGTCTATGGGTCTATGAGTCTATGAGTCTATGGGTCTCTATGAGTCTATGGGTCTCTATGGGTCTATGAGTCTATGGGTCTCTATGAGTCTATGGGTCTATGAGCAGACATGGGCAAAGTACGGCCCGTCGAACTGGTCCAAATATTATTATTAAATTAACCTTTCTCCTGTAATGCCCCCAATTCCCCATTAGATGGCGGACTTTGACTTGCAAATAAATACTTTGCTACCTGTTAAAGGCCAAATCCTTTCATGTAATGATTTTTACATGTCATTTATATTAGTTCACACAAACACTCCATCCATCTGTTCCTGGCCCGGCCCCTCTGTCAAATTTTGTAACCCATTGTGGCCCGCGAGTCTATGGTTCTATGGGTCTATGAGTCTATGGGTCTATGGGTCTCTATGAGTCTATGAGTCTATGGGTCTTTGAGTCTATGGGTCTCTATGAATCTATGGGTCTATGGGTCTCTATGAGTCTATGGGTCTCTATGAGTCTATGGGTCTATGAGTCTATGAGTCTATGGGTCTATATGAGTCTATGGGTCTATGAATCTATGATTCTATGGGTCTCTATGAGTCTTTGGGTCTATGAGTCTCTATGAGTCTATGGGTCTCTGAGTCTACGGGTCTCTATGAGTATATGGGTCTCTATGAGTCTATGAGTCTATGGTTCGCTGAGTCTATGGGTCTCTATGAGTATATGGGTCTCTATAAGTCTATGGGTCTATGGGTCTATGAGTCTATGGGTCTCTATGAGTCTATGGGTCTATGAGTCTCTATGAGTCTATGAGTCTATGGGTCTATATGAGCATATGGGTCTATGAGTCTATGGGTTTATGGGTCACTATGAGTCTGTGGGTCTATGAGTCTCTATGAGTCTATGAGTCTATGGGTCTATGAGTCTATGAGTCTATGGGTCTCTGAGTATATGGGTCTCTATGAGTCTATGGGTCTATGAGTCTATGGGTCTCTATGAGTCTATGGGTCTCTATGAGTCTATGGGTCTATGAGTCTATGGGTCTCAATGAGTCTATGGGTCTATGAGTCTATGAGTCTATGGGTGTATGAGTCTATAGGTCTCTATGAGTATATGGGTCTCTATGAGTCTATGGGTCTCTATGAATCTATGAGCCTATGGGTCTCTATGAGTCTATGGGTCTATAGACCCATAGACTCATAGAGACCAGGAATGTGTGGTCAACGGGAGGCAAAGCCTCACCTGTCAAACTCCAATGAAATTGCTTTAACAAAAAGTGAAAAATAAAGAATAATAAAATCAATATTAAGATTTGTCCACTAATCTGTTATGTTATTTCTCTACGACTCCAATCATTTTCATGGTCAAAAATCACCAAATTTGCGGAGCTCCGCTGCAAATAGAGGAAGAGACGATTGGTGAGGCAGCGACAGGCTCAGCCTCCCCTCTGATTGCGCAACCCCTCAGTAACTGGATGGAGCGCGGGAAATAAGCGCGTGCCTTTTACTATCTCTCTGTGTGTCACCAATGTAGTGTTTGTAGACCCCTTCATTTCATGTCCTCGCCTTCCATACTCCAGATAACTTATTTCATGTACGTGTATAAAGATATTGAGGCTCGCCAGTCTCGTCATGAAACTTCAATGAAAAAGCACCAGGGGAGGCAGCTATCACATCTGCCTCACTGAGGGGGCGTGTCTAACACGCCCCCCTCAGTGAGGCCACGCCCCCTCCGTGAGGTCACGCCCCCCTCAGTGTGTGAATCTATGGCTCTGACACGAGTCAGTGCCATAGACTCACACAGAGACCCATAGACTCACACAGAGACCCATAGAATCAAATAGAGACCCATAGACCCACACAGAGAACCATAGACTCACACAGAGATCCATAGACTCACACAGAGACCCATTGACTCACATAGAGACCCATAAATTCACACAGACCCATAGACTCACACAGAGACCCATAGACTCACACAGAGACCCATAAACTCACCACACAGAGACCCATAGACTCACACAGAGACCCATATACTCACACAGAGCTCCATAGACTCACACAGAGACCCATAGACTCACATAGAGACCTATAGACTCACACAGAGATCCATAGACTCATACAGAGACCCATAGACTCACACAGAGACCCATAGACTCACACAGAAACCCATAGACTCACACAGAGACCCATTGACTCACACAGAGACCCACAGACTCACACAGAGACCCATAGACTCACACAGAGACCCACAGACTCACACAGAGACCCATAGACTCACACAGAGACCCATAGACTCACACAGAAACCCATAGACTCACACAGGGACTCATAGACTCACACAGAGATCTATAGACTCACACAGAGACCCATAGACTCACACAGAGACCCATAGACTCACACAGAGACCCATAGACTCACACAGACCCATAGACTCACACAGAGACCCACAGGCTCACACAGAGACCCATAGACTCACACAGAGACCCAAAGACTCACACACAGACCCATAGACTCACACAGAGACCCATAGACTCACACAGAGACCCATAGACTCACACAGAGACCCACAGACTCGCACAGAGACCCATAGACTGACACAGAGACCCACAGACTCACACAGAAACCCATAGACTCACACAGAGACCCATAGACTCACATAAAGACCCATAGACTCACACAGAGACCCATAGACTCACATAGAGACCCATAGACTCACACAGACCCATAGACTCACACAGAGACCCACAGACTCACACAGAGACCCATAGACTCACATAGAGACCCATAGACTCACACAGACCCATAGACTCACACAGAGACCCATAGACTCACACAGAGACCCATAGACTCACACAGAGACCCATAGACTCACACAGAGACCCACAGACTCGCACAGAGACCCATAGACTCACACAGAGACCCACAGACTCACACAGAAACCCATAGACTCACACAGAGACCCATAGACTCACATAAAGACCCATAGACTCACACAGAGACCCATAGACTCACATAGAGACCCATAGACTCACACAGACCCATAGACTCACACAGAGACCCACAGACTCACACAGAGACCCATAGACTCACACAGAGACCCACAGACTCACACAGAGACCCACAGACTCACACAGAGACCCATAGACTCATAGAGACCTACAGAGACTCACCCAGAACCATAGAGACCCACAGAGACACCCAGAGACCCACAGAGGTCCTCAGAGACTCAATAAAAACTAAAACTAATCTGAGTTGTTGTTAAATCTTTAGTCCACCACGCCCACTGCCGACCTCTGCACCAACCAGACGCGCGCGTTCGCCTCTCATCTGCTTCCTCCCCCCGTAGCCCCTCCCCTCCATGGGCCCCTCCCCCCCGTGGCCCCTCCCCTCCACGGTATCCCCCGGTTTCACCTCCAACCGCCCCCGCCCCCGCTCTAAGCCACTCCCCCCGCCCCGCCTCCCTGCCGTGGCCCCGCCCCTCCCCGGTCGCTCCCCCCCCACCCCCGTGGCCCCGCCCCTCACCCCCCCACGTCGCGCCCCGCCCCTCCCGCGAGTCGCCGCCAAGATGGCGGACTTGGAGGCGGTTCTGGCCGATGTCAGCTACCTCATGGCCATGGAGAAGAGCAAATCGACTCCGGCTGCTCGCGCCAGCAAGAAGATCGTCCTGCCCGAGCCCAGGTGCCTCCTCCTCCTCACCCCCTGCCTCACCACATGCCTCACCACCTCGACATCAACAGCGACTCACATCGCCACCTCTCGCCCTCTGAGGGGATGACGCCCTCTCACTCACCACTCACTCACCACTCAGCACCACTCACCACTCAGCACCACTCACCATCACTCACCACTCACCACCCTCTCACTCACCACTCACTCACCGCCACCACTCAGCACCACCACTCACCACCGTCTCACCACTCACCCACCACTCACTCACCACCGTCTCACCACCACTCACCACTCACTCACCACCGTCTCACCACTCACCACTCAGCACCCTCTCACCACCACTCACCACCCCCTCACCACACTCACCACCCTCACCACCGTCTCACCACCACTCACCACCCTCTCACTCACCACCGTCTTACCACTCACTCACCATCCTCACCATCACTCAACACCCTCACCACCAGCACTCACCACTCACCATCACTCACCACCACCACCTCACCACCACTCACCATCCTCACCATCACTCAACACCCTCACCACCACTCACCACCCTGTCACCATCCTCACCATCACTCACCACCCTCACCACCACTCACCACCACTCACCACACTCACCACCATCACCACCACCCTCTCACCACCACTCACCACTACTCACCACCACTCACCATCCTCACCACCACTCACCACCCTCACCACCCTCACCACCACTCACCACCCTCACCACCCTCACCACCACTCAGCACCCTCACCACCACTCACCACCCTCACCATCACTCAACACCCTCACTACCCTCACCACCACTCACCACCCTCACCACCCTCACCACCACTCACCACCCTCACCACCCTCACCACCACTCACCACCCTCACCACCACCACTCACCACCCTCACCACCACCACTCACCACCTCACACTCACCCCTCGGAGGAAGACGTCAGACTGCACGCTCTCTCCCCTCACGACACTGCGCTTAGCTCTCTCTTAGCTATCCCTTAGCTCTCCCCCACTGTGTCACTCTCCCTTAGCTCTCCCTTAGCTCTCCCCCACTGTGTCACTCTCCCTTAACTCTCTCTTAGCTCTCCCTTAGCTCTCCCTTTACTCTCCCTTAGCTCTCCCCCACTGTGTCACTCTCCCTTAGCTCTCCCTTAGCTCTCCCTCACTGTGTGTCACTCTCCCTTAGCTCTCCCTTAGCTCTCCCTTAGCTCTCCCTTAACTCTCCCCCACTGTGTCACTCTCCCTTAGCTCTCCATTAGCTCTCCCTTAGCTCTCCCTTAGCTCTCCCCCACTGTGTCACTCTCCCTTAGCTCTCTCTTAGCTCTCCCTTAGCTCTCCCCCACTGTGTCACTCTCCCTTAGCTCTCCCTTAGCTCTCCCTCACTGTGTGTCACTCTCCCTTAGCTCTCCCTTAGCCCTCTCTTAGCTCTCCCTTAGCTCTCCCTTAGCTTTCCCTTAGCTCTCTCCCACTGTGTGTCACTCTCCCTTAGCTCTCCCTTAGCTCTCCCTTAGCTCTCCATTAGCTCTCTCCCACTGTGTGTCACTCTCCCTTAGCTCTCCCTTAGCTCTCCCTTAGCTCTCCCCCACGGTGTCACTCTCCCTTAGCTCTCCCTTATCTCTCCCCCACTGTGTGTCACTCTCCCTTAGCTCTCCCTTAGCTATCCCTTAGCTCTCCCCCACTGTGTGTCACTCTCCCTTAGCTCTCCCTTAGCTCTCCCTCACTGTGTCACTCTCCCTTAGCTCTCTCTTAGCTCTCCCTTTGCTCTCCCCCACTGTGTGTCACTCTCCCTTAGCTCTCCCTTATCTCTCCCCCACTGTGTGTCACTCTCCCTTAGCTCTCCCTTAGCTATCCCTTAGCTCTCCCCCACTGTGTGTCACTCTCCCTTAGCTCTCCCTTAGCTCTCCCTCACTGTGTCACTCTCCCTTAGCTCTCTCTTAGCTCTCCCTTTGCTCTCCCCCACTGTGTGTCACTCTCCCTTAGCTCTCCCTTAGCTCTCCCCCACTGTGTGTCACTCTCCCTTAGCTCTCCCTTAGCTCTCCCTTAGCTCTCCCTCACTGTGTGTCACTCTCCCTTAGCTCTCCCTTAGCTCTCCCTTAGCTCTCCCCCACTGTGTGTCACTCTCTCTTAGCTCTCTCTTAGCTCTCCCCCACTGTGTGTCACTCTCCCTTAGCTCTCCCTTAGCTCTCCCCCACTGTGTGTGTCACTATCCCTTAGCTCTCCCTTAGCTCTCCCTTAGCTCTCTCCCACTGTGTGTCACTCTCCCTTAGCTCTCCCTTAGCTCTCCCTTAGCTCTCCCCCACTGTGTCACTCTCCCTTAGCTCTCTCTTAGCTCTCCCCCACTGTGTCACTCTCCCTTAGCTCTCCCTTAGCTCTTCCTTGGCTCTCCCTTAGCTCTCCCCCACTGTGTCACTCTCCCTTAGCTCTCCCTTAGCTCTCTCCCACTGTGTGTCACTCTCCCTTAGCTTTCCCTTAGCTCTCCCTTAGCTCTCCCCCACTGTGTGTCACTCTCCCTTAGCTCTCCCTTAGCTCTCCCCCACTGTGTGTCACTCTCCCTTAGCTCTCCCTTAGCTCTCCCCCACTGTGTGTCACTCTCCCTTAGCTCTCCCTTAGCTCTCCCTTAGCTCTCTCCCACTGTGTGTCACTCTCCCTTAGCTCTCCCTTAGCTCTCCCCCACTGTGTCACTCTCCCTTAGCTCTCCCTTAGCTCTCCCTTAGCTCTCTCCCACTGTGTGTCACTCTCCCTTAGCTCTCCCTTAGCTCTCCCCCACTGTGTTACTCTCCCTTAGCTCTCTCTTAGCTCTCCCTTAGCTCTCTCCTAGCTCTCTCTTAGCTCTCCCTTAGCTCTCTCTTAGCTCTCTCTTAGCTCTCCCTTAGCTCTCCCTTAGCTCTCTCTTAGCTCTCCCTTAGCTCTCTCTTAGCTCTCTCCTAGCTCTCTCTTAGCTCTCTCTTAGCTCTCTCCTAGCTCTCTTAGCTCTCTCCTAGCTCTCCCTTAGCTCTCTCTTAGCTCTCCCTTAGCTCTCTCCTAGCTCTCTCTTAGCTCTCTCTTAGCTCTCCCTTAGCTCTCTCCTAGCTCTCCCTTAGCTCTCCCTTAGCTCTCCCTTAGCTCTCTCTTAGCTCTCTCTTAGCTCTCTCTTAGCTCTCTCTTAGCTCTCCCTTAGCTCTCCCTTAGCTCTCTCCTAGCTCTCCCTTAGCTCGCTCCTAGCTCTCTCCTAGCTCTCCCTTAGCTCTCCCTTAGCTCTCTCTTAGCTCTCTCTTAGCTCTCTCTCTAAGCTCTCTCTTAGCTCTCCTAGCTCTCTCTTAGCTCTCCCTTAGCTCTCCCTTAGCTCTCCCTTAGGCCTCCCTTAGCTCTCCCTTAGCTCTTTCTTAGCTCTCTCCCAGCTCTCCCTTAGCTCTCCCTTAGCTCTCCCTTAGCTCTCTCCTAGCTCTCTCTTAGCTCTCCCTTAGCTCGCTCTTAGCTCTCTCTTAGCTCTCTCTTAGCTCTCCCTTAGCTCTCTCCTAGCTCTCTTTTAGCTCTCTCTCTTAGCTCTCCCTTAGCTCTCTCTTAGCTCTCTCCTAGTTCTCTCTTAGCTCTCTCTTAGCTCTCTCTAAGCTCTCCCTTAGCTCTCTCTTAGCTCTCCCTTAGCTCTCCTAGCTCTCTCTTAGCTCTCCCTTAGCTCTCTCCTAGCTCTCTCTTAGCTCTCTCCTAGTTCTCTCTTAGCTCTCTCCTAGCTCTCTCTTAGCTCTCCCTTAGCTCTCTCTTAGCTCTCTCCTAGCTCTCTCTTAGCCCTCTCCTAGCTCTCTCTTAGCTCTCTCTTAGCTCTCACCTAGCTCTCTCTTAACTCTCTCTTAGCTCTCTCTTAGATCTCCCCTAGCTCTCCCTTAGCTCTCTCTTAGCTCTCTCTTAGCTCTCTCTTAGATCTCTCTTAGCTCTCCCTTAGCTCTCCCTTAGCTCTCTCCTAGCTCTCTCCTAGCTCTCTCTTAGCTCTCTCTTAGCTCTCTCCTAGCTCTCTCCTAGCTCTCCCTTAGCTCTCCCTTAGCTCTCCCTTAGCTCTCTCTTAGCTCTCCCTTAGCTCTCCCTTAGCTCTCCCTTAGCTCTCTCTTAGCTCTCCCTTAGCTCTCCCTTAGCTCTCCCTTAGCTCTCTCTTAGCTCTCCCTTAGCTCTCTCCTAGCTCTCTCCTAGCTCTCTCTTAGCTCTCCCTTAGCTCTCTCTTAGCTCCCTCTTAGCTCTCTCTTAGCTCTCTCCTAGCTCTCTCCTAGCTCTCTCCTAGCGCTCTCTTAGCTCTCTCCTAGCTTTCTCCTAGCTCTATCTTAGCTCTCCCTTAGCTCTCCCTTAGCTCTCTCTTAGCTCTCTTAGCTCTCCCTTAGCTCTCCCTTAGCTCTCTCTTAGCTCTCTCCTAGCTCTCTCCTAGCTCTCCCTTAGCTCTCCCTTAGCTCTCTCCTAGCTCTCTCTTAGCTCTCTCTTAGCTCTCTCTCCACGCTGCGACTGCTCTCTCCCTCCCGCTCTCTCCATCTCCCTCCATGTGCTGTGTGTACTCTCTCTCTCTGTGTCACTCACCCTCCATGTGCTGTGTGTACTCTCTCTCTCTCTCTGTCACTCACTCACCCTTCATGTGCTGTGTGTACTCTCTCTCTCTCTGTCACTCACCCTTCATGTGCTGTGTGTACTCTCTCTCACCCTTCATGTGCTGTGTGTACTCTCTCTCTCTCTGTCACTCACCCTCCATGTGCTGTGTGTACTCTCTCTCTCTCTGTGTCACTCTCCCTTCATGTGCTGTGTGTACTCTCTCTCTCTGTGTCACTCTCCCTTCATGTGCTGTGTGTACTCTCTCTCTGTCACTCACTCACCCTTCATGTGCTGTGTGTACTCTCTCTCTGTCACTCACTCTCCCTTCATGTGCTGTGTGTACTCTCTCTCTGTGTCACTCTCCCTTCATGTGCTGTGTGTACTCTCTCTCCCTTCATGTGCTGTGTGTACTCTCTCTCTGTCACTCTCCCTTCATGTGCTGTGTGTACTCTCTCTGTCACT